CTTTCAACGCAGTTTCCATGAGACGTTCGAATGTTGCCCCTGCATTAACAAGGCCAAACGGCATTACGTTAAATTGATACAATCCGCTGCCGGTAGAAAACGCAGATTTCAACTTTGCTTCAGGTGTTAATGGGACCTGATGGTAGGAGCTACTCACATCCAAGGTTGTAAAGTACTTTGCGCCACTATGACCTAATTTATCAATAGTATCATCAATGCGTGGAATTGGGTAAGCATCAACAATCGTTGCCGCATTTAATTTCCGGTAATCAATGCACAGGCGCACCTTACCCTTTTCTAATTTTGATTTGTCTGACGGATTTTTATCACCCTTGCGCACCATGACAACAGGGGAAGACCACGGTGATTGAGATGGTTCAATAACTCCCCTATCAAGCAATGTTTTCACCTCTTCCTCGGCGATGTCACGCTTCCAGAATGGAAACCTACGCGGTCTTTGTTTGATTGGTTTTGTGTTACCAGTCTCAATATCGTGTTCGACCAAGTGTGTCTTACCGAGGTCATCTTCGTTCTTCGAGAATACATCGCTATAATCACAGAGTAACTTCGCAACTTTTGACCTGTCTTCAGCGTTCATATCATCCGTATAAGACTTGTACAAATCTTGCAAATGTTCAGGCACCGAAACGTCGCCTATCTGGACTTTACATACACGAAGAGGCGTTAATTGATCATCACACATTGCGGTCTGAACGTCAATAACTGATTCCAACGTGGACAGAGTTGCAATTTCATTACCCTTGAAAATTGTACGCTTGCTTTCGTTAGGATTAAATAAGCGCACCGGCAAAATTTTCGTATCAGAATTAACAACGGCGCGTGCAACCATGATACCACGATCAATTAATCCCTCCCCCTCAATGGGTTCGATAATGCAAGGACCCGTCATTAATTTCAATTGAGCAGAGTCACGCGAGGCTACTTTACCCTGAACTATGATTTCATGGCCAGCTGGAATGCGAATTGTTTTACTTGCCACTAAAGTACAAACAAAATGATCGCCTTGTTCATTGGTGCATTGGACCGATTCGTCTGCAAAATTCAAGCATTTACTACGGAAATCAATATTGCATCGACTTGCATTTAGAAAGTCCGCCCCCAATATTGCTTGGCCCGGAAAATCCGCGACAATCACTATGCAATTATGCACTTGGCTGCCGATCCGAACAGACATATTGCTTTTACCAAGTACATCAATACTACCGCCATTCACGTTCGTGACACGTGCACCCACAGGCTCTAACATTATACGCTCGTCTGGACACACTTCCAAATATTTTGATTTAGATAACAAAACACAAGATGCCCCGGTATCAACCAGAAACCGAATATTATCCTGATTTCCGATAGACCCATTCACAAATAAGCCCCGTTTTGCCGTTTCTTTGGATACTAAATCAATTGTCACATTTTCCGTTTCGTTAATTACTGATCCGATTTGCGTGGGGCTTGGTTGTTCGACGGCCGGTTCTTGCCCCCAGGTCCCGACCGTTTCCCGTTTCCCTGCCCCTTGATAAGCCCTTTTGGGCACTCACGGGCCCAATGTTCATAAGATCCACAGGTCCAACAAGCGCTTTTATGAGCCGGTTTCCGGTTATTATTACTGATCTTATCGGCCTTGCCCAGTTCCAATTCGACCTCGAGTGCCCGGATATACTCTTCTAACTGCTCCACCATAGACCCGTTACAGTTGCCGTTGACCTTCTCGTCATCGCGATCAACAGACAATGCCCTGACGGTATTTAATGTTCGTTTCTTCCCATAACGGGCACGGTCAGATTCCAAAAACGCTTCAGTTTCGATTCCAACGCGAATACAATCGTCTAAAGTTTTGCAAGGTGCCTGAAAGATCCGGAATCTCAAATCCTGATCATCAATCGCCTCGATAAAGTGTTGGATTGCATAGCGTTCACGCGCTTCAATAGGTATTTCTGGATATGCCAAATTTGTCAAACGTCTAACATTCTGCCCCAATGCCGCAAGACTCTCATTTGAGTGACGTACGCGTGTTCTAAGCTCCGACAGAAAACGTGACGCTTGACCTCCCGTACCGAAACGTTTCTCAAGACGACTTACTAAACAACTGTACGTTTTTGGCTCTTCTGGTGGCAAATTAGAAACAACGTCTAGTGCTGCACCACGCAAACTGGCCGCCAAATATGTATATTTTTCAAAATCATTCCATTTATTAATTTCAGCACAATTTTCGAAATGCGTCTTGTAATTAATCCACGTGATTCCCGCATTTTCGCCTGTATATTTATCTGGCGTAAACGTGGACCTAGTCCGCCTCGGGCTTCGTTCACGGCTCCGAGGATTGACAGCACCGTCATTATTTGAATCACCAGACAATCTAGACGGCCCGCCTCCTACTACGTTATTTTGATTATTCGCAAGATGATCATCTCCGGATCTGCCAGGTCGTGATTTAAAGAACGACTGCAATGTTTTATTTTCAAGCAACCGCTCTACTAGTCTTTCCTCAACCGCTGGAGTTGACGCAAGAATGGAATCTAACAAACCCATATTCTCTAAATTTCGACGTGGGGTCTGGTGCCCTGCCGCATTTTGTTCAACAACTGTGTTATCGACGTTACGGAACGGGGACGTATACGATTCATACTGATTGCCCAGCGCATGTTGGGGGTCAGGCATTTTGGGCCTTGCCCCACCATGGTAAACTGGCGGTTGTTCACTGCCCCTAAGATCATTGTTATGATCACTCGGCCCGGGGACGAACGTAGTACGACGTGGTTCATCTCTGATATTTCCCGATCCGGCTTGAGTAGCATACCCAGATGTTTGAACGGTCGATGGCATTTCAAATTCCTGAGCACCCGTGCTCAAGAGTTTATCATTGTCTAATACGGCTCGATCATCGTTTTGATCTACCGAACTTTGACGGGATTTGCCTGGATTAAACATAATTTCCGAACGAAAACTTTGGTCACCGTCGTTTGATCCAGTCGCCATTATAATTCACGAAATGATATAACGGTATCACAGTTTAAAATAATCAGGTTCAGGTCCTTTAAGTTAACTCCGCCCTTTGACCTCGGTTGCTGTGTCAACAAGTCAAATAACTTCGAAAAATTCCGGCGGAAAACAGCAAACAAACTGCTTGAATTGTACCTGAAATATACATGCAATAAACACAATTTCAACGAATTATGGAGCTTTTACGTCCAAAGAAAAGAAATTCGTTGAATATAAAATAAAATAGTCAGTAATTGGGGTTTTATCAGCCACTAAATTGACCAACTTTACCTAGAAATTGATCGATGAATCCAATATGGCCGGAATAGTCAATCTCCTAACGGGGTTTGAAATATTCACAAAATCAACAAGTCCGTTTTAACCCGCACTTCACTAGAGATTAACAAACAGCACCGATTTTAAAACTACTTCGAATGAAATGTATCTTCGGAAGATACTAAAACGAATCCGTTGCGCCGATGCGATGCTGAATGTAATAATCCAAATGAAAATATCCACCACGAGTTTGTAAGTCTTAGAGATATTTAAAGAAATACTGAGAGCCTAGCGATATGTGAATACTTCGAGTCGCAAGTCAAGAGTGATCAAGTGTAAGAAAGACAGTATGTGCGAAGATTCACTTCACTGCTCAATGATTTGGGAAACCATTGAGAAGTAAACTCGTAACCGCATAGGGATGTCACGCCATGAATGTCATCCCTTTGTTTAGCGTAAATTGGTCAGCGTTAGTTTTGCAAAAATAACAGATATCAAAAGGACATTTACATTAGAAAGACGCTAAACCGCCCACTATCTCCAGATTGGCGTGCACTCCAATCAAGGATTATGTAAGGTTATCGCAATTTTAAATTAAAACTACCTTTGAATCTATTCAAAATCGCCGAAGTATTACCAACGCAAATGGAATAGGATATTACTCACGGTAATATTTGTTATCATAAGACATGAGTTGCATGCAAAAACATCCTATTGCAAGTTCGACCGGTACATTTAGAATCACCAGGTGCACATACCTGTCAGCCCTAGCGACGATTGAGGGGGGGGGGTGCTGTCCAACAACCTACCCCGCACCCCTACCTAACGTAGCCACGAATTCGAATGGCTTCTTCATGGCCTGTCCCGGGTGGACAGGCACATGGAACATATTACCCCGTCACCCAAAGGATGACGGGGTACGACATCGATCCTATCCACGGGGCTTGCAGCCAGTGTGACAAAGCCCCCTCCCGCAACGACATGGCAACACATATCGGATGTTACCTGCACTCTTGGGGTCGGAGTACCACCAAAGCAGTGCCCTGCCTTGGGCAGTATACGACTGGCAACGATGGTGGAAGTTGCCTACACTCTTGGGGTCGGGGTACCACCAAAGCAGTGTTATATACGCCTGGCAACAGAGTGACGGATGTTGCCTGCACTCTTGGGGTCGGAATACCACCAAAGCAGTGCCTGCACTCTTGGGGTCGGAATACCACCAAAGCAGTGCCATGTCGGGAGCCATCTGCGTGGCGTACGGTACCCATCCGCTGCCACCAATGTAAAGAATCGTGGGGAGCAGGAGGGGGACTCGCCGGCCTGACTAGCAAGCTAGCCTAATGTACACTAGGTGCACCGCGAATGTGTTCGAGTCCCACCTGATCCTCCCCTGGTTTCCCTATAGGGGTGGTCAGCTTGGCGGTTGGGTATCTACCTTTGACCTACTGAAGTTGTGGCCGAGCGGAGACCATCTTCGGACCTGTATCCCCCGGGTGAGGATACCAAGCTCCCTGTGCAAGCAGCAGGAGTAGGCTAGGATCGGTGTCGGAGTGTGTGTACAGTCTTGGGAATATAATTAATCTGAATGAATTTACCCTTAATAAATGACAAAACATATGAGTTAAGTTTATATCAATTTAATGTGCTATTATAGCCAAACTTACCAAATAATGTACAATAATGTCCAAATAAGCCAGTGTATGAGTTATATAAAATAAAGCCAAAAAGCCCACCCAAATTTAGAATGTGAAAACAACCCTCCCCAAAACTGCTAAGAAACACACTAAAGTTGTACTTCCTTGTCCCAGCATATCTAGTAACAGTTTAATGTATCAGTTCAATGAACAAACCAATCACATTCCTGGACAAGGAAGTACCTCCCCTTTTAACCAAGTAACCCCAAAGTTAGAGTGGCTCATACACTGGCTTTTACAAAAATGCCTTGATCAATGATTGACAGAGAACACTATGACACGTGTTCTCTACATAGCCCCCTCCCAAGATGGAACGACTCCTGGCGTTCATACGGTAATCATTTCCATCTAGGAAGCAGAGCTCATAAAAATATAATAAAATGAAAGTGTCCACGTTATATAATAACACTAGTATGTAGTAAGTAATCCAATAAAGTTCATCAGGGTTAAATCCTGGAAATAAATGTTGAAGTTTGGTATTGAAATTAAATGTCCATATTTTAATTAATTAATCCAATGTGTGTATAATATGCTGCAATTAGAGTCCAATATAAAATGTCCAACAGAAACTAAATTAAGTCCAGGACCTCCTTGCTCCGGGATTGTAGTTCTCCTTCAAAGTACTTCTCCTTTACAACGACCATCTTGCTCACTCTGTAGCCATTCTTCTGGAGGAATTCCAGGTCACCGGGGAATAGCACATCCACGGTAACCTGTTTCCTCGTGACCGCCTCCAGCCCATCTTCCATAACGTGCCCCTCTCGAAGGGTTACATCATCAGTTGTGTGAGGGGATAGAACCTGTTGGCCCTCTGGATTAACCACAGTTACTTTGGGGCGCTTGACGTCATCCCCGTTACCCCCTGATATTCTGCGTCTTCTGCTCCCCTCGGAGGGCTGGGTATGCCCCGAGGAGACTTTCTCTGATGGACCGCTGCTGGCTACGCCCCCTGGTGGTGTTCTTCTGCTCCCCTCGGAGGGCTGGGAATGCCCCGGGGAGACTTCCTCCCGAGAACCGCTGCTGGCTACGCCACCTGGTTGTGTTCTTCTGCTCCCCTCGGAGGGCTGGGCATGCCCCGGGGAGACTTCCTCCTGAGAACCGCTACTTGCCACGCTCCCCGGCTGTCTTCTTCTGCTCCCCTCGGAGGGCTGGGCATGCCCCGGGGAGACTTTCTCTGAGGAACCGCTGCTCATCACATCCATTCGTCCATTTCTGCTCCCCTCGGGGGGCTGGTAGCGCCCCGGGGAGACTCCGCTCCTACGATGATCATCTGGTCCCCTCTGTCGTTCTTCCGTGTGGCGCCGGCCCCATACTGCTTCTCCCTCGTCTGGAACGCCGTTGAGCACATCCCTGTGGAAGGCTTTCATGTGCATTACAAGACCAGGCTGGTCTTGGAACCGTTCCCCACAAAGCATGCACTTCCTTGGTCCCGTGAAACAAGGCATCTTCTATTTTTTACAAGCGTAACACGTCCAGAAACGAAATGAAATGATGTTATAGATTACTTCAGTATGAGGACGAAATAATTCTTACTCTTGACTATGTAAGTTTATACAGAAATCATATGATACACTTAATACTCTTCGATGTCGCTCAACGCACTGTAGATGATAAATAAATATAGGAAGTTTTGTCCCTATAGGGTCAACGCCTAAGTTATGCGAATACGTTTAGTTCCGCCAAGATCACTGACAAAACACGAATGCAATTTCGAATGTTATATAACTTCCTATAACCCTGCACGATCATGACCCACGGAACAGAAGGAAATTACACACAGAGTCGTTTTTAACATGCAAACTAGCCCGAGATTCAAAAAAGGATAATAACATTTCAAATCGGAATAATAGCTAACATGTAGAATATAAGATTATATATTTTGTTCAAATTCCCCGATGTTGTTTGGCGTGAATAGTTGCAAAATATTCGGGGCATTTGCCCACATATGTAATGAGGTTATTCTGAGTCACCATATATTTTGATTTAACAGTCCGCTGAATAAAAATGTCCATGCAAACTTAACGGAGCCGTAACCGCTAAATAAAAACATAAACCGACGATAGGCGGATAGAATTTATCACGAATTACGCCAACTTTCATTATTGAAATAAGTGACTTCATGGCATTACTTCACTTATTGGTTACGCATCTGTTTCATTGCACGACGTTTCTTTCGATATGTTCTCCAGACTTAGCCCCGAATTGGAATTAAGTAACTCTTTTTGAGATTAACTATTATGTTTAGGATAAACACGACTGCTCATATCGTCCCAGACAATATAATTCGATCTCCAGAGAAACAATGTAGACGTATTCTATACATTTGTTCTCAAATCTAGCGATTAAATTGTATAACGATTCGCAGCAGAAACCCCATCGTGTGGGTCAGACACGATAGTGAATTCCCCTGGATCCCGGGTAATTCCGACTACACAGGCACCGGAAGCACCACACCCGATTCCATGTCTTATGTATTGCCAACCCATGGGCTAGGGTCACAAGACTGCACTCCTCGCGATGTGATAAGTTAAACTATCTGGGATGATCCAACACAACCCTAGTATTAACGAACCTTGATCAAGGTATTTTCTTACGACCGGCCGATCTAAGAAGGTCTCTTGCCGCAAACCACATTTATACAATCAATCAGAACAGCCATTGTGCAAACAATAATAAAAATCTTTGTGCATGCGATATCGGCGGTCAGCTGTCCCATACTAGACCAAAGTTTAGCGGATCAATGAACTAAACACCATTGAACACGCAGACATTCACACCTGCACAGGTTAATGTACACCGAAAATAACAATAAACGGTGATCAGCGATCCTGATCCTGTGAGATACCGATATCCATAAACCACGCACACACGCGAACCAAAATATCGAACTTGAATACATAGTCCGGAATTTTAGATCGGGTTTTTAACATGAACAAACAATCATTATAGGGAATATATAACTAAACTACAGTAAATGACTAACTAAATACATGCATGCCCTTCAACCGGAAAGACATAAAATACAGTGTAATAATGCTTCAAAGGCCCCAGGCATCAATGAAATACGTTACTCGCAACCGAACCTAACTGGCGCTTTGACCTTACGTTTAGGCCTTGACGAGTTTCCGGAAGCAGTAACTATACCTAGTTCTCCAGCAGCCATCGATTTAGCTGGATCACAAGCGGGCGAAATTTTATCTGAATTCGTTTGCCCTGAACGATGAGTGGTTTTGACCCTGGTAGGTTTTTCACGCATCGCCGACTTGGCTTCACCGACGATGGGACTTGCGGGGGTGTCCTTCTCACGCGTCCCAGTGATTTCTTCAGAGATGCATTCCCCGTGGTTACATTCCTCTTCACTGGGATCAAGGCCTACCTTAACCTCCCATTTTTTGAAATTCGAGCCTTCATAAGGCTTCAGCCGATCGTGATGTACGACCTTCGGATTTGACCTTGGTTTCAGTTGTATACGGTATGTCACGTCTGACAACCGTTGGGTCACCATGAACGGCCCCTCCCACCTTCGTTGAAGTTTGGGAGAGCGACCTTTCACTTTGTTTGGGTTATGCAACCACACCGGATCCCCCTGTTTATACATTTTAACAGAGGTCCGGGCGTCATGTTCCCGTTTCTGCGTTACTTGGGCTTTAGTCGTATTGGCACGGGCACGATCCCAAGCTTGCCGCATTTTGTCTCGGATATTTTCGGCGAATTCTGTGTCACATTCAGCTTCATCTCCGGGCGGTGGCGTAATCATGTCAATTGGTATTTCAAGTTCTCTCCCAAACATTAAGAAATTGGGAGTTTCACCGGTAGTTGAATGCACCGAGGACCTGTACGCATGCATCACATACGGCAGATGCTCATCCCAATCACATTGACTGAGGTTTACGTATTTAGAGAGCATAGCTTCCATAGTTCTATTATATCTTTCTACCTGTCCATCGCTAGACGGGTTGAACGGAGTTGTACGGGTCTTAAAAACTCCAAGAAGCTTACATACTTCTTGGAACACTCGACCTTCGAAAGCTCGACCTTGGTCGCTATGTATCTCGCGGAAAAGGCCGAATCTGAGCACGAATTCTTCAACTAAAATTCGAGATATTGTTTCCGCTGTCTGGTCGATCATAGCATACGCCTCGGTCCATTTGCTGAAGTAGTCTGAGATTACAAGGATACACCTATTGCCCCGCTCTGTTTCGACAAACGGCCCACAAACGTCTAACGCGATTCGTTCAAGTATAATACCGGACCGATATTGCTGCAATTTCGCCTTGGGTTTTGTATGGGGATTCTGGCGGGACGCACATAAGTCACAACGTTTGCAATAGCGTTTGACATCGGCATTCATTCCTGGCCAATAAAACCGTTGATTTACACGTGCCAAAGTTCTCTTAGCGCCCAGATGTCCGGACAACCTAGAATCATGCAATTGCGACAACGCTTCATTTCTTAGCACAATTGGCATAGCAAACCTGTTCCGAAACGTCTTCCCGTCATTACTCTCCCATTTCACGTATAGTACATCATTTTGCAAGCTTAAACGATCCCACATTCCCCAGTATTTCTTAAAATCACGATCGAGATGTGAGATATTCTCCCATTTAGGCTTACCGGACTTTAAATACTGACGGACTTGCGAAATAACCCGGTCTTTGCACTGAGCTTCTATCATTTCATCAACGCTCCATGTACCTGGCATAACAATAGCACGAATTTCACTATTTGACTCCCTACCCTCCCCCAAATTGGCAGAAGAATCAACTCCGCTTGATTGACACTTGTCCCGATCAGGTTCCACGCAGGGTTCAATTTCTGTGTCAAATAGTGAATCAGGTAGCCTTGATAATCCGTCCGCATTGCCGTGATTACGTCCGGCCCGATGCTGTATTGTGAAATCGTACATTCCTAAGGTTTCGAGCCACCTTGCGTTTTGACCCTCGGGATTTTTGAAGTTCATAAGCCACCTAAGTGACGCATGATCCGTGCGAACGGTAAACTTTTTCCCGTACAAATAATGTTTGAAATATTTCACAAAGTGAACTAATGATAGTAATTCGCGCCTCGTAACCGTAAGCAATGACCTTTTCAACTTCTCCATTATCCCCGTCTGTCTGCATTTGACTGAGCACCCCTCCCACATGCGTATTGGAAGCATCGCAGTCCAGAATAAACTCACCCTCAGGTCGTGGATATGCTAATATTGGCTCACTCATTGCGATCTTCTTCAGTCTTACAAACGCGATTTCACAAGGCTCAGTCCAACAAAATTCTCGGTTTTTCTCAAGCAAACCGTACAATGGTTTTGCAATCTCCGAAAAATCCTTGATAAACCGCCTGTAGTACCCAACAAAACCAAGAAACGATTGGACATTTTTAACCGTTTTTAGTTGAGGCCACGTTTTGATAGCTTTGATTTTTTCTTCATCCATTTCGACTCCGTTTTTCGAAATCCGATGACCTAAAAATGCTACACTTTCACTAAACATAGTGCACTTTTTAGGCTTGAGTTTTAAGTTTGCAAGACGTAGACGATCAAACACCAATGACAAACGATTGATCATTTCATCCACAGAAGTACCCCATAAGATAATATCGTCGATGTACAGACATAAAACGTCCCATACGAGTCCTTTCAACGCAGTTTCCATGAGACGTTCGAATGTTGCCCCTGCATTAACAAGGCCAAACGGCATTACGTTAAATTGATACAATCCGCTGCCGGTAGAAAACGCAGATTTCAACTTTGCTTCAGGTGTTAATGGGACCTGATGGTAGGAGCTACTCACATCCAAGGTTGTAAAGTACTTTGCGCCACTATGACCTAATTTATCAATAGTATCATCAATGCGTGGAATTGGGTAAGCATCAACAATCGTTGCCGCATTTAATTTCCGGTAATCAATGCACAGGCGCACCTTACCCTTTTCTAATTTTGATTTGTCTGACGGATTTTTATCACCCTTGCGCACCATGACAACAGGGGAAGACCACGGTGATTGAGATGGTTCAATAACTCCCCTATTAAGCAATGTTTTCACCTCTTCCTCGGCGATGTCACGCTTCCAGAATGGAAACCTACGCGGTCTTTGTTTGATTGGTTTTGTGTTACCAGTCTCAATATCGTGTTCGACCAAGTGTGTCTTACCGAGGTCATCTTCGTTCTTCGAGAATACATCGCTATAATCACAGAGTAACTTCGCAACTTTTGACCTGTCTTCAGCGTTCATATCATCCGTATAAGACTTGTACAAATCTTGCAAATGTTCAGGCACCGAAACGTCGCCTATCTGGACTTTACATACACGAAGAGGCGTTAATTGATCATCACACATTGCGGTCTGAACGTCAATAACTGATTCCAACGTGGACAGAGTTGCAATTTCATTACCCTTGAAAATTGTACGCTTGCTTTCGTTAGGATTAAATAAGCGCACCGGCAAAATTTTCGTATCAGAATTAACAACGGCGCGTGCAACCATGATACCACGATCAATTAATCCCTCCCCCTCAATGGGTTCGATAATGCAAGGACCCGTCATTAATTTCAATTGAGCAGAGTCACGCGAGGCTACTTTACCCTGAACTATGATTTCATGGCCAGCTGGAATGCGAATTGTTTTACTTGCCACTAAAGTACAAACAAAATGATCGCCTTGTTCATTGGTGCATTGGACCGATTCGTCTGCAAAATTCAAGCATTTACTACGGAAATCAATATTGCATCGACTTGCATTTAGAAAGTCCGCCCCCAATATTGCTTGGCCCGGAAAATCCGCGACAATCACTATGCAATTATGCACTTGGCTGCCGATCCGAACAGACATATTGCTTTTACCAAGTACATCAATACTACCGCCATTCACGTTCGTGACACGTGCACCCACAGGCTCTAACATTATACGCTCGTCTGGACACACTTCCAAATATTTTGATTTAGATAACAAAACACAAGATGCCCCGGTATCAACCAGAAACCGAATATTATCCTGATTTCCGATAGACCCATTCACAAATAAGCCCCGTTTTGCCGTTTCTTTGGATACTAAATCAATTGTCACATTTTCCGTTTCGTTAATTACTGATCCGATTTGCGTGGGGCTTGGTTGTTCGACGGCCGGTTCTTGCCCCCAGGTCCCGACCGTTTCCCGTTTCCCTGCCCCTTGATAAGCCCTTTTGGGCACTCACGGGCCCAATGTTCATAAGATCCACAGGTCCAACAAGCGCTTTTATGAGCCGGTTTCCGGTTACTATTACTGATCTTATCGGCCTTGCCCAGTTCCAATTCGACCTCGAGTGCCCGGATATACTCTTCTAACTGCTCCACCATAGACCCGTTACAGTTGCCGTTGACCTTCTCGTCATCGCGATCAACAGACAATGCCCTGACGGTATTTAATGTTCGTTTCTTCCCATAACGGGCACGGTCAGATTCCAAAAACGCTTCAGTTTCGATTCCAACGCGAATACAATCGTCTAAAGTTTTGCAAGGTGCCTGAAAGATCCGGAATCTCAAATCCTGATCATCAATCGCCTCGATAAAGTGTTGGATTGCATAGCGTTCACGCGCTTCAATAGGTATTTCTGGATATGCCAAATTTGTCAAACGTCTAACATTCTGCCCCAATGCCGCAAGACTCTCATTTGAGTGACGTACGCGTGTTCTAAGCTCCGACAGAAAACGTGACGCTTGACCTCCCGTACCGAAACGTTTCTCAAGACGACTTACTAAACAACTGTACGTTTTTGGCTCTTCTGGTGGCAAATTAGAAACAACGTCTAGTGCTGCACCACGCAAACTGGCCGCCAAATATGTATATTTTTCAAAATCATTCCATTTATTAATTTCAGCACAATTTTCGAAATGCGTCTTGTAATTAATCCACGTGATTCCCGCATTTTCGCCTGTATATTTATCTGGCGTAAACGTGGACCTAGTCCGCCTCGGGCTTCGTTCACGGCTCCGAGGATTGACAGCACCGTCATTATTTGAATCACCAGACAATCTAGACGGCCCGCCTCCTACTACGTTATTTTGATTATTCGCAAGATGATCATCTCCGGATCTGCCAGGTCGTGATTTAAAGAACGACTGCAATGTTTTATTTTCAAGCAACCGCTCTACTAGTCTTTCCTCAACCGCTGGAGTTGACGCAAGAATGGAATCTAACAAACCCATATTCTCTAAATTTCGACGTGGGGTCTGGTGCCCTGCCGCATTTTGATCAACAACTGTGTTATCGACGTTACGGAACGGGGACGTATACGATTCATACTGATTGCCCAGCGCATGTTGGGGGTCAGGCATTTTGGGCCTTGCCCCACCATGGTAAACTGGCGGTTGTTCACTGCCCCTACAGCAAACAAACTGCTTGAATTGTACCTGAAATATACATGCAATAAACACAATTTCAACGAATTATGGAGCTTTTACGTCCAAAGAAAAGAAATTCGTTGAATATAAAATAAAATAGTCAGTAATTGGGGTTTTATCAGCCACTAAATTGACCAACTTTACCTAGAAATTGATCGATGAATCCAATATGGCCGGAATAGTCAATCTCCTAACGGGGTTTGAAATATTCACAAAATCAACAAGTCCGTTTTAACCCGCACTTCACTAGAGATTAACAAACAGCACCGATTTTAAAACTACTTCGAATGAAATGTATCTTCGGAAGATACTAAAACGAATCCGTTGCGCCGATGCGATGCTGAATGTAATAATCCAAATGAAAATATCCACCACGAGTTTGTAAGTCTTAGAGATATTTAAAGAAATACTGAGAGCCTAGCGATATGTGAATACTTCGAGTCGCAAGTCAAGAGTGATCAAGTGTAAGAAAGACAGTATGTGCGAAGATTCACTTCACTGCTCAATGATTTGGGAAACCATTGAGAAGTAAACTCGTAACCGCATAGGGATGTCACGCCATGAATGTCATCCCTTTGTTTAGCGTAAATTGGTCAGCGTTAGTTTTGCAAAAATAACAGATATCAAAAGGACATTTACATTAGAAAGACGCTAAACCGCCCACTATCTCCAGATTGGCGTGCACTCCAATCAAGGATTATGTAAGGTTATCGCAATTTTAAATTAAAACTACCTTTGAATCTATTCAAAATCGCCGAAGTATTACCAACGCAAATGGAATAGGATATTACTCACGGTAATATTTGTTATCATAAGACATGAGTTGCATGCAAAAACATCCTATTGCAAGTTCGACCGGTACATTTAGAATCACCAGGTGCACATACCTGTCAGCCCTAGCGACGATTGAGGGGGGGGGGTGCTGTCCAACAACCTACCCCGCACCCCTACCTAACGTAGCCACGAATTCGAATGGCTTCTTCATGGCCTGTCCCGGGTGGACAGGCACATGGAACATATTACCCCGTCACCCAAAGGATGACGGGGTACGACATCGATCCTATCCACGGGGCTTGCAGCCAGTGTGACAAAGCCCCCTCCCGCAACGACATGGCAACACATATCGGATGTTACCTGCACTCTTGGGGTCGGAGTACCACCAAAGCAGTGCCCTGCCTTGGGCAGTATACGCCTGGCAACGATGGTGGAAGTTGCCTACACTCTTGGGGTCGGGGTACCACCAAAGCAGTGTTATATACGCCTGGCAACAGAGTGACGGATGTTGCCTGCACTCTTGGGGTCGGAATACCACCAAAGCAGTGCCTGCACTCTTGGGGTCGGAATACCACCAAAGCAGTGCCATGTCGGGAGCCATCTGCGTGGCGTACGGTACCCATCCGCTGCCACCAATGTAAAGAATCGTGGGGAGCAGGAGGGGGACTCGCCGGCCTGACTAGCAAGCTAGCCTAATGTACACTAGGTGCACCGTGAATGTGTTCGAGTCCCACCTGATCCTCCCCTGGTTTCCCTATAGGGGTGGTCAGCTTGGCGGTTGGGTATCTACCTTTGACCTACTGAAGTTGTGGCCGAGCGGAGACCATCTTCGGACCTGTATCCCCCGGGTGAGGATACCAAGCTCCCTGTGCAAGCAGCAGGAGTAGGCTAGGATCGGTGTCGGAGTGTGTGTACAGTCTTGGGAATATAATTAATCTGAATGAATTTACCCTTAATAAATGACAAAACATATGAGTTAAGTTTATATCAATTTAATGTGCTATTATAGCCAAACTTACCAAATAATGTACAATAATGTCCAAATAAGCCAGTGTATGAGTTATATGAAATAAAGCCAAAAAGCCCACCCAAATTTAGAATGTGAAAACAACCCTCCCCAAAACTGCTAAGAAACACACTAAAGTTGTACTTCCTTGTCCCAGTATATCTAGTAACAGTTTAATGTATCAGTTCAATGAACAAACCAATCACATTCCTGGACAAGGAAGTACCTCCCCTTTTAACCAAGTAACCCCAAAGTTAGAGTGGCTCATACACTGGCTTTTACAAAAATGCCTTGATCAATGATTGACAGAGAACACTATGACACGTGTTCTCTACAATATGAAGGAATAAAAATTGTATTGTATTGTCCCCGGGAAATAATCGTATTGGAGCGTATTACATGAAAAAATCGTATTGTTCCCGGGAAAAAATTGTATTGGAGCATACTAACCTATTCTTGATTTCCCGGTTATTTGCATTATCCAAATGTAGTATTTTCGAGGGGTGTATTATGGAATAAATAGGTGATTTCTGGTCCGGATTGAATATGGGTTTATTCTGAGGGACAATATGATATTGACCTTGGGCAATATCATATTGACACTCGGTCGCTGCGCTCCCTGGGTCAATATAATGTAACCCTTTGGTCAATATATTGTCCCTCGGAATAAAACCCATATTCAATCCCTCCGAGTAAAAAAACCTACATATTTAATTATTAAATATATGTAATGTACAGTACATGTACCAGCATATACAGGCTTTGAAATAATCTAATGTTTTATTTTAGTTTTTCCTGCAGCTTCAATATCACAAGACAGAAGAGAAGAAACTGCATAGCAATCATGATGACTCCATTGCAACGAGTACTCCAGTGCCATCTATATCCAGCCCAACAATGCCAAGATTGAGGGTAAGAAATCTTCTGTATTATCATGAACGGAATTGATTTAATTATTTTTCAACCTACAACCATTTTCTTTTTATTAAGAAATTAAAGAATCTTGTGTCCTTTGCTTTGTTCCTTTCCATTATCTGATGAAAGGGTCTTGTGTATTATACTTGGCCTTTTTCGTGTTACAAAAGTGTCACATGTTCTATACTTGTCCCACCCCAGGATTTGAAAACAAAACACTTAAAAGAAAGCAATGCATTTGAAGGTTGAGATATTAAAGTGTTATATGACCTCTACTTGTTTTCCCTCATGATTCAAAACGTTCAGAATTAAAGGATCTCTTGTACATTGGTCAACTGAAATCACTTTCTGGTACTTGCAGTCTTCAATAAGTATAACTGAGAGCCTTCGATTAGACTCGCCAAACGCCAGCATGGAGATTGACGACCCTGATGATGTCATAGGGAGCATAGAAGAAAGCGTTTTCGATGATATATTGAAATTATTTCAAAGAATGAAAGATGAGATGTTGGCCAACTTGATAGATTATATTTCCACAGATGTAAAGTCTAGATCAAAGCCCTACAGAAAGGACAGGTATGTATCACGAAATTACCTTTTTCTAATATATTTTTTCATTTTGTATGGTCTTACTTTTTATTGATGCTTTAATTATAAAATAAACATCACAATTTTGAGTAATCCACAAAATGAAAATCATCAGTTTGTAAAATTATCAATGCCTACTTTGAATATACTATGAAAAATGCAGCTGCCTATTTATAAATTTTTGTCTGCTATTTAATTGATTATTATCATTGTAATAGAACTGCATACTTGTAAACACTATTCAAAAACATATGATGATTGATTCACTTCTGTTTTTTGTTTATAGATGGAGCGTAATTCCCCCTTCTAAAGAATTCAGTTCGCTCGGTCTTTCAAACTCTGCGTGTGAGATGTTCCTCATTCTGAAAGAGAGGCTCCATGACGTCAAATTATTGCTGAGTAAGCCTGTATTCACAACAGTCTGGCAGACGATAGCGGAAGATCTCAATCAGTTCTTATATCAAAAGGTATCATAATATTGTATAGCTTTATTTTACAAAAAGTAGAGAGGTTTCGCACAATGGGTTATAGCTAAAAGATATCCACAACTCATCTTGTTTTATATTGAACTTCTATGCATAAATCTGGTGAATGCTAATGATTTAAGATACTGGTAAGTTGGGCTAAAAACATTTTATGAAGCTTCTTTAATGTCTGTCGATTCATACTTATTCCACTTCATTTCTGTTTAAAGTTTGAATTAAAATTTTGTATTTTTACACAATTTATATTGTTTACTGCCTGTTAAGTTAATTTCTATGTTTTTCTACTGTATTTTGATTTTGAAAAATATATGTTTTTAGTATTGGCTAAACCAAAAGGTAGCAGTGTGGGTTGCTTGGATCCATTAAACTTGATCACACTGACATCTTTCTTTTGAAACAACACATTGCTATGGTCTTGTTGAAATCCTTCACTATTTCATCTTAAAATGAAGTGTGACATTCAGGTTAAGGCGTTATTGTCAGTATTGTCTGCATGTCCCTTATTGTCTTCATTTATCTGGGATGCAACCTTTTTGGTGATCCCATGAACAAAATAGATAAGATTTGCAAAAGATAGCAAGAAAGAAGTACATAATATCAGATGATCAAGCAAAATTAAGGATAGAAAACTATTTGAAGATGTATCTAGCACAACAATTATTCATAGAAAAAACATTGAGCTTCTGATACTACTTAAGAACAATCTGTCAGAAATCTCTGTATTATTCCACCCATATGTGCTAGTGATGAGATAAACGACACAATCATCCCTACTAAAACTGATAATGTCCTCATTCTTTGCATCATTGTTTCCTCATTTAGTGTGATTTGTATTTTCCCAAAAGTTCGATGTAGCCAACAGAAAATAGGCAAAAATAGAAAGCATCTGACAAAAAACAAAATTGTATATTTGTGCAAGTTCAAAATATATCTTTGGTTTTACCTTTAGATATAATTTTTATGTAATATGAAAAAGGATGGGATGACAAAGTACATAGTAGAAACCATTATGCATTCATCAATTTCGCAATTTGTACAGGCATTACCATGCAGTATAAAACTTGTAAACCTGAAGATCATTACACTTTATAAGCTGATGAAAAAGATTTTTTCAAAATGGTAAACATGTAATCTCAAGGGTGACAAAAAAACTTAATTCATCTCTCTTTCAAGGCTTTCACTTTTCATTTGACACATAAATTTCAAGGTATTCTTAGTCAGAAAAGATTCTGTATGATAAACTCGTATTTATTTCATAGCACAAATCGCACACTTAGGAGAAGGAGCCCTGAGGAGTATACATGTATCTACCTGAGTAAAGCATTTACCATTATTATGTGTTAATTTATTGTTATATGAAGGCATTTCAAAGTATCGTGAAATCGTTGTACTATGAAGTGATACAGGTCATAGTCCAAAGCATACTTTTGTCTCATCAAAGGAAGCTGATGTGTTGTTGGGGGAATCTTCACTTGAGTTGTAGATGTAACTCGCATGCCGGCTTGTACGTGTGAAATGAGTTGCCCTTTGAATAATGGTAGAAGTGTCTCTATAGCGTTTATTGTTTGAATGTAATACTCCTGTACACCTATGAAAAGATAGTATTTTTCGATGTTTTGTTTAGCGATATTGATTGAACTTTTAGCACCATTCATTCCAGAGAACCACTCAATTTGACTTTTTCTTTGAAGTTTATCTACTCCATATTTGTTGATGTACTCACTAATGTTCATATTGTTAAATTCATCGAATGACATGTTTTGTTTTCCATGACATGTCCGGCATTGTTTTAGAAAATAGAACATTGAGATTGCTTGTTCTACAGGTTCGCGTACCACATCTATATAAATGGGCTGTTTATACCCATATTTGGTAAAGTCTAAAAACCCAACATGTGCAATGTAAATAACAGGTTTTGGGTAAGTCTCAATAAGATGAACATATTTTTGTGATCCTGCTTTCCCCGTTAGTCCCATTGCACCACGGCTCAATGTATATCTGAGATTAGCTCCATTCAATAGAGTTGCATTATACAGCAGATGTGTTAAGGTTGAACTTCCAGACTTTGGATACTTGCTATAAATTAAGATTGATTGATCTATTTTACTTTGTTCATAATGTCTCCATATTTTACAAGAATGTGGGTATTTGATGTCAAATTCCTTTATGTCACTATTTTTCTTCTTCAGCATCATGTGGATTGTTTCGTTCAGAAATGACCTATGGCCCCAGATACGTTCTTCCTTCTTGGCACTTGATTGAGACCCTGAAAGATTAAGCATTGTTGCCTTCTATCTAAAAGCCAAACCTGCCAAACGGCATACCAAATATACCAGATATACCGATATATACAACTATAATAAACAACCATATGTTAGAACATTTATTATATGAATTTATGAAAGTAGACATTTAAACAGCTGATATTGGCATTCATGTTTATGTCATTGCCACAAGTGGTGCCATATTGTTATATTCTCCAACTTTTTTTGTAGATGTAACAAATGGCAGGTGGTGACATTTTGCATGTTCATATCTTGTTTCTTAATGGTTATATTGACAAGGAAGACTAGGTTCCTCTAATCCACTTCTTTATGTATTATAATTAAGAAGGATGTTAAAATGTTCTTTTTTAATATACTCTACCTGTCATTTCTGCTGCAGAAACCTGAGGAAATAGTATTTGGTCTTGGAAAGAATCAGGTGTAATATCCCAGTTGTTTCTTACGGTTTCATTCACCATATAACAACCTAGGAGTATCACCATCAGAATACTGACACAGATATATCCCAATGCCTGGTTCCACTTCATTGTTGTGTCATTGCAATGTTGCGTAGTCATGGTGTCTTTTCCATGGTTGTTATGTACAAATTCTAATCCATACCATCAGAGTTATGTTTCTTTAATGTTTCCTTACCCTTTTGTTCTATGAGATCAATTCTGTGATACCATATACCTTTCCATTTGCTGTACTGTGCTTAAATGCGTTTTATTTTGTTCTTTCAGTCAAGATTATAATATGGTTTCTTCAATTTCAGGACTTGTATATAGTGTTTTGTGTTTACCATTATTTTATCAGTTGCATTGATTTTTGAATGCACCAGTTTAAATGAACATTGTAGTTTGAAATGAAACAAAAGGTCAGATATAATTATGTTAATTTAAAACTTATTTGAAATCCAATAATCATTGTAAGCGCATATTTTCATATGCTATATGCCAGCAGACACTAAGGAGTGGTATCGATATGGTGAACTTTTTGAACACACGTTTCTCTTAAACCAATCAAAAAAAATCTAAAAATTTAACACATCGTCAATTTAATGGTCATCTTTGAATGGTAACAATATTATTTGAAAAATATATAAATACTTTCATCTATTTTGTTTTAGAAAACACATCAAACATTTGTTTTGTTCTTGGTATCATGTTTCCAGAGTGAAATGAAACATCTTTTCGAACCTTATTGGAACAAATCGACATAAACACAACATGTTTAGGTCTCTCAATATTGTAACTGTACAACGGAAATTTTGGTTGATTTTAAAAAAGTATCTTGTTAATGAAATAAAAGGTTTATCTTGATTTTTAACTATTTTATGGGGATTTTGTTCTAATTCTTTGAATGCTTTTTTAAAATCTACCAAAAATTCCTTTGTATAACTATAATATTGAGAGGTCTAAAAACATGTTGTACTCGTATATGCTATTTTGTTTCAACAGGGTTCGGAAAGACATTTTATTTCATTCTCAAGAATTGGTAGAAAGGAGCAAAAACAATTGCACTAAAAAAACAAAAAATGTTAATAAAAACAGTTATATAGAATATTTTTAAATAATCTTCGCATTAAATTGTTGTCAATCAGTCAACATTACATAAAATACTGTCCGTCTTGACCCTTCTCTCTTATATTATGAAACTCCCTCAACATAAGACTAAATTATTTTATTGTCTTTCCTTCTTTATTATTTCAGTCTAAATTCTTGTTTTCAATTTTCTGTAATTTTACAATTTCTTTTTAATACTTTATAACTTCATTCTTCAATAGCTTTTCTAAAATTCTGTCAAATCACCTTTTCCCTTTCTATTTATATAGTTCTAAATGTCAGCACATTGTAGAATCCTCCATCTCAGAATCGGACGATATCCTCCTCAGAATATTCTTTTTGGTGAGGCAAAATCCGTCAGAAATTCTACTCTCTTCTGAGATGGAAGATTCTAACTTTTCTCCATAAACAAACACCACAGGAGGTCTGTCCCCAGTCATGGAGATGTCCTAATGCTATACTACTCTGTGTTAAGTTAAATTGTGCATTAGAATACCTCCTTCGGCTGGCTGAGCTGTTGGAGCCGCCAGACTATCATAACTTTCCAGCAAGACACTTCATGATATTGATGTTTACATTACAGAGGCAAAAATGCCAAAACCATCTCGCTTCAGGAAATACGATGAACATACAAACAATTTTAGGGCAAGTTAATCTTCAAAGTTTAGTTGATTGAATAAAAATTGTCTTTCTGGAGGTTAAATTGTCTTAAAGCATTTTAACTTACAATACCATGTTTGTTTACAGAATGTTTAAGAGAAAAACATTGTTGAATTCTGTTCACCATTTCGATACCTATCCTTTAGTGAAAGACTGAAGGCCCCGTGCAAAGTTTGAAAATATTTTTTTATCATTCACTAAATTTCTTGTGGTTTAAAATTTTAGAAATAATTTTGCATCCTAGGTGACATCATCATGATGTCATATATTATGAAATGATGTCACTTACAAAAAGTACCCTAGTATTGCTCACTTTATACTCAAATTGTCACTTTCCTCACCTGAGACAAAAGGGGAGTAAATGTCCCAACATTTAAAGTTGGACCCACTTCCAATTAAATCACAAATATACTTACTTATGCATCTATGAATTCCGGGATATTCCCTATTTACTCTAGAATCAAATTGATTTATACATATATAGGCATTGGACCAGACTTATTCTAATCAAATTGTATCTCTTTAAGCTCAATTATGTTTGGATCAATACTGAGATATACCGTATGTGGTTAAGAAGATATGTAATTATAATACCCTTTGCAAAAGGATGGGTATCGATATGGTGAACTTTTTTAACACATGTTTCTCTTAAACCAGTCATCAAAAAATTCTGAAAATTTTACAAATTCCTTAATTGTCATCTTTTCAATGGTAACAATATAATTTGAAAAATAAAAAGATATTTTTCTCTACATTGTTTTACAAAAAACACATAAGACACTTCTTTTGTTCTTGGTATCATATGTTCGGAATGAAATGAAACATCTTTCGAAATCTCATTGGAACAAAATGACAAAAACACAACGTGTCAATATTGTAATTGTACAAAGGAAAGTTTGGTTGATTTAAAAAAGTATGATATTGAAATAAAAGGTTTATCTTAATTATTATGTATTTTGGGGGTTCTGTTTTAATTTTTTGAATACCTTTTTTTAAATCAACCAAAATTTCCTTTGTATAACTACAATATTGAGAGGTCTAAGAAAATGTTGTATATGGTATTTTGTTCCAACAAGGTTCGGAAAGACATTTTATTTCATTCTCAAGAATTGGTAGAAAGGAACAAAAAAACAATTGCACTAAAACCAAAAATTCAAACTGATGGTGAGCAAAAATAAAGTTTTCAGATGCAGAACTTCATTCATCATGATAAATTGTGAAATATGTGAAATCCTCTTTACAGTTATAAGTGAGATTGAATAGACACATAGTGCCAAAATAGTGGTTTGTTGCAAACCAACTTTACTTTAAAGTGTTATATAATCATTTAACCAATTCCTGAATAGACACATAGTGCCAAAATAGTGGTTTGTTGGATACCAACTTTACTTTAAAGTGTTAAATAATCATATAACCAATTCCTGAATAGACACATACATGTAGTGCCAAAATAGTGGTTTGTTGCAAACCAACTTTACTTTAAAGTGTTATATAATCATTTAACCAATTCCTGAATAGACACATAGTGCCAAAATAGTGGTTTGTTGGATACCAACTTTACTTTAAAGTGTTATATAATCATTTAACCAATTCCTGAATAGACACATAGTGCCAAAATAGTGGTTTGTTGGATACCAACTTTACTTTAAAGTGTTATATAATCATTTAACCAATTCCTGAATAGACACATAGTGCCAAAATAGTGGTTTGTTGGATACCAACTTTACTTTAAAGTGTTATATAATCATTTAACCAATTCCTGAATAGACACATAGTGCCAAAATAGTGGTTTGTTGGATACCAACTTTACTTTAAAGTGTTAAATAATCATATAACCAATTCCTGAATAGACACATACATGTAGTGCCAAAATAGTGGTTTGTTGCAAACCAACTTTACTTTAAAGTGTTATATAATCATTTAACCAATTCCTGAATAGACACATAGTGCCAAAATAGTGGTTTGTTGGATACCAACTTTACTTTAAAGTGTTAAATAATCATATAACCAATTCCTGAATAGACACATACATGTAGTGCCAAAATAGTGGTTTGTTGCAAACCAACTTTACTTTAAAGTGTTATATAATCATTTAACCAATTCCTGAATAGACACATAGTGCCAAAATAGTGGTTTGTTGGATACCAACTTTACTTTAAAGTGTTATATAATCATATAACCAATTTGCCAACACTAAATACCTGGCTGAGCAGTGATCTAATCACAGCTAAATTGTAATTCATACCTTATTATTTTTGACAAATTTATCCATTTTAGACCAGGGTTGCACAAGTCTTTCCACAATGTAATATTGAAGACTCTTATTGTAACAAGAATTGTCCAAAATAAAAAGGCATTGATGTTTTTTGGGCTCAGATAGTGGAATTGACTAGGCATCCGTCCATCCATTGGTCCATCGGTGAGAACATACATCTTATATTAAAGATGCTCAGAAATCCTATTAATTTAGGTACATCATTGGACTTGTGACTACTCGAGTGATCTTACCCTGTTGTATACTTAAGGTTTGATTTGAAGACGATCACAGTGGTTTACCATGCGGAAATCAATAAGTTTCTATTTTGCGCTATATTACATGAGGATTCACTGGATGGTTTTGTGAATTTTAAAAATTTTACACTGAGCATCTTTCTAAACACAAATCATGTTCATTCAAATTCAAACTATATATGAAAGTACAGCAGTCACGGTCAATGGCTTACTCCAACATTCATTAAACCCAGTCACTGTGAAATTTATTTGATCTGTTTAAAAAATGTAAAAATATTAACATTCCAGTTCCGCCCACAACTGTGCAGGGCAAGGTAAGTTTATGGTGTCAGACTGTAAGACTTTGTTAAAATATTTGAAAACCAATGCTTGCAAATAATGTTCAACCGTATTCAATATGCTCTAGCTCTATTCAAACATAAAACACCACTTTTAGACATGACATTACCCAAAGACCTCCTCACGCATGAAGAATCCATGAAACAAAGTCTAAGAAAATTGGTAAATTTTTCAATTCTGCCAATAGGAACACAAACATGCAAACAGAAGCGCCACTTCCAAAGCCATCCGAAGCACTCCGAAGCAGTACTTTCACATATGAAACCACCAATGATGTACAACGTACATATACCAATGGGAATGAATTTCACCCAAGTCCAATTCTCCAGTACATGCAAGTTGATGGATGAGGGTCTTTGTTCATGTTTGAGGCCTTAAGGAATGTGCAGGCATTTCAAAGTACCATGAAATCGTTGTACTATGAAATTATAAAGGTCATAGTCAAAAGCATATTTTTCTCTCATAAGTTGAAACTGGTGTGAATTTGGGGGAAACTTTGAGTGGGTTGTTGCACCTATTCTTACACCTGCTTGTACTTTTGAGTGAAGTTGTCCTTTAAACAAAGGAAGAAGCATCTCCAAAGCTTGCATCGTCTGAATATAATACTCCTGGACTCCTATTAAAAGATAATACTTCTCTATATTTCGTTTCGCCATATTGATTGATTTTCTATTACCATCTATCCCTGAGAACCACTTAATTTGACTTTTTCTTGGAAGTTTATCGACTCCATATTTATCAATGTAATCACTCATGTTCATTTTAATTATTGATTCTCTATATGTATTATTATGTTTTCTTTGGCATGCCCAGCATTGTTTTAGGAAATAAAACATTGAAATAGCTTGCTCTACAGGATCACGTACCACATCTATATAAACAGGTGGATTATACCCGATTTTAGTGAAGTCTAAAAACCCAACATGTGCAATGTAAATAACAGGTTTAGGATAACCTTTAATAATTTCTGTAAGATTATGGAGTCCAGTAATTCCATTGTAGCCAAGGGCATCTTTAGATAACGTATATCTGAAGTTGACCCCATTTTTAAGTGTTATATTATACAGCAGATGTGTTATGGTTGTACTTCCAGACTTTTGATACTTGCTATAAATTAAGATTGATTGATCTATTTTACTTTTTTCGTAGTGTCTCCAAATTTTACAAGAATGTGGGTATTTGATGTCAAATTGCTTTACATCACTATTTTTCTTCTTCAGCATCATGTGGATAGTTTCATTAAGAAATAATCTGTGGGTCAAGATATATTCTTTCGTCTTGCTACGGGATAAAGCCTCTGAAAGTTTAAACATGATCAGGTTTAAGTAATGGTTTGTTCGTGTCACCATTTTTTCCTTAAAGCATTATTATATTCAATTTACTTTCTGTAAAAATAAGCAATGACCCCGCATGGATTTCTTCCTTGTTTCAATTTTTAGAAAATCAGAAAATAACAAAATTGCAATGTACTTGTAAATGTAATCACTATTCCTTTTATAATTGATACCAATCCTGAAAAATCATTAGTACTTGTGAAATTAAAGATATGCACCAAAGAGAATATACATTTTAAAAAATTGTTTTTATTAAAGAAAATTGTATTCATAACTACCTGGCATTTTTACATCTGGGAGCAGCATTGGGTCTTTAAATGCATTCAGTGATATTGTAGTAAGGCTTCTCTGTGTTTCATACACAATATAGCACCCTAGAAATATCACTATGCAAGTAGATACGCAGATAAGTCTTAATGTTTGGTCCATGTTTCTTTGTTTCTTTCCCTCAAGTGATTTATTCTCTGAATCACTCATCATGAGCCCTAAAACATATTGTTTGTTTTTTGTGCCCATTCGTTTGCTTGTTTGTTTTTATGTGTATTTGCTTGTTTGTTTTTTTGTGTCCATTTCTTTGCTTGTTTGTGTTTATAGATTTTTTAATTCGAAGTACCTTGATTAGTTGAATACTTCTTTCATCTTTCAACTTATCAATAAGATGGTTATTCGGTACCTATAAATGTAACATTTCATCATATAAATTGTTCAATATATATGTACAACTTTAGTCAAAAGCCAGAATTTGATGTAGTGATAACTCCTGCCTTGATTTTATTCATATGACCTTGATAAAATAAGCCAATCATTTAAATTTGCATATACTAATTTTCAAAGGGTCAAAGATATAATAGCTCAGATTTTGACTTGAAACCGTTACAAAATCAATTAATTTTGTTTGTCAGTTTTATTGATTAAAAAGGACCAATTGATCATCTGCCAGTATGCAGGAGTTTGATCAAAGTCAATCTGTGTTTGAAATTCATAAACTTATATTTTTCGCTTGGTGTTTTGTAGCTTTTCCAAATTACCTTTTGTCAGTTTTTCAATAATATCTATGTCCTACAGTTTATGTGTGTATTGAATTATCTAACATTTTTAATACAATGTAACATGATGAAATAACATTTCAAGGTTGAACGGGATGATCCCCCTACCATTCAGGAACGATCTAGAGCAATTCAAAATTGCAAGACTTTGGGCCTGGACATCATTTTAATGTGGAGCATCCCCACACCAAACATCCAGGAATCTGGGGAATCATATTATATTACAAGTTACATTTGCAAGGCTTTGGGACATTTTAATTCAATGTCTAGTATTCCTCCTCACGTATCACAATTTACAATTGCAAGAGATTTCATTCGGGTGTCTACAAAACAAAGACCTAAGACCTAAGACCTACAAAACTAAGACCCCCCACGTTATAAAACTAAGACCCTGTTATAAAACTAAGACCCCCCATGTAATAAAACTAAGACCCTGTTATAAAACTAAGACCACCCACGTTATAAAACTAAGACCCTGTTATAAAACTAAGACCCCCCACGTTATAAAACTAAGACCCTGTTATAAAACTAAGACCCCCCACGTTATAAAACTAAGACCCTGTTATAAAACTAAGACCCCCCACGTAATAAAACTAAGACCCTGTTATAAAACTAAGACCCCCCACATTATAAAACTAAGACCCTGTTATAAAACTAAGACCCCCCACGTTATAAAACTAAGACCCTGTTATAAAACTAAGACCCCCCACGTTATAAAACTAAGACCCTGTTATAAAACTAAGACCCCCCACGTTATAAAACTAAGACCCTGTTATAAAACTAAGACCCCCCACGTAATAAAACTAAGACCCTGTTATAAAACTAAGACCCCCCACGTTATAAAACTAAGACCCTGTTATAAAACTAAGACCCCCCACGTTATAAAACTAAGACCCTGTTATAAAACTAAGACCCCCCACGTTATAAAACTAAGACCTTGTTATAAAACTAAGACCCCCCCACGTTATAAAACTAAGACCCTGTTATAAAACTAAGACCCCCCACGTTATAAAACTAAGACCCTGTTATAAAACTAAGACCCCCCACGTTATAAAACTAAGACCCCCCACGTTATAAAACTAAGACCCCCCACATTATAAAACTAAGACCCTGTTATAAAACTAAGACCCCCCACGTTATAAAACTAAGACCCTGTTATAAAACTAAGACCCCCCACGTTATAAAACTAAGACCCTGTTATAAAACTAAGACCCCCCACGTTATAAAACTAAGACCCTGTTATAAAACTAAGACCCCCCACGTTATAAAACTAAGACCCCCCACGTTATAAAACTAAGACCCTGTTATAAAACTAAGACCCCCCACGTTATAAAACTAAGACCCTGTTATAAAACTAAGACCCCCCACATTATAAAACTAAGACCCTGTTATAAGAATCAGTCACCGTGCCTTGCTCTGCTCGCCACAAGGTAGTCTTGCCTCTGGGCCTTGTGTTCCCTAGTAACATACAGATTCTACAAAAGATAGTCTTGCTTCTGGTCCTTGTGTTCCCTTCTAATATACAGATTCTCCCCACTAACATAAAGATTCTACAAAAGGTAGTCTTGCTTCTGGTCCTTGTGTTCCCTTCTAATATACAGATTCTCCCCACTAACATAAAGATTCTACAAAAGGTAGTCTTGCTTCTGGTCCTTGTGTTCCCTTCTAATATACAGATTCTCCCCACTAACATAAAGATTCTACACATGGTAGTCTTGCCTCTGGCCCTTGTTTACCCTAGTAACATACACATATGGTAGTCTTGCCACTGACCCTTGTTTTCCCTAGTAACATGGTGGTTCAAGATTTCAGACCCATCTTTCTCACATAGATTGCTGAACTTATTTTAGTTAAGAATTCCTAATAGAATTAAGAATTAATAGCTGAAACTGTTCTGTTTGTCCTAGCAAACAATATCCCAATATGCATTTGAAATTCATTTTTGTGTATATGTGTTAACAGTCTGTGATGTCATCATCAATCATCACAATGGGAATTAGGTGAATTCTATCTGTGACAGTGAGATTATCTATGATGTCACATAGTAGTTTGATTTCTAAGAAATGTGGCAGAGTTCTATCTATGACAGAGATGCTTTGTGATGTCATCATGAATTATCTCGTTTCCATTGTGATGATTGATGATGTCATCAGAGTACTTTGTGATGTCATCGTGAATTACCTCATTTCTATTGTGATGATTGATGATGACATCACAGACTTTCAACAAATAGACAGAAGAAGTTGAACTACAAGTTGGAAAATTGTTTGCTAGGGCAAAACAACTCAGTTTCAGCTAATAATTCTTAATTCTATTAGGAATTCTTAACTAACAATGGTTCAGCAATCTGTGCCAAAATGATGGGTCTTAAATCTTGAACTACCATTAAACATCACTTCCAAAACAATACCAGCATAAAATGGAGTATCTCTTTTTATGCTCAGCATAAAATGGGACATCACTTTTTATGCCGGGCATAAAAAGTGATATCAAAAAATTACTTTTTTTTTAAAAATCAACAAATCCGGGTATTTGTTACAGTCCATTTTTATATAATCCGCTGTTGTATGTTACTGGGGAACACAAGGCCCAGAGGCAAGACTACCTTGTGGCGAGCAGAGCAAGGCACGGTGACTGATTCTTATAGCAGGGTCTTAGTTTTATAACGTGGGAGGCCTTAGTTTTATAACAGGGTCTTAGTTTTATAACGTGGGGGGTCTTAGTTTTATAACAGGGTCTTAGTTTTATTACGTGGGGGGTCTTAGTTTTATAACAGGGTCTTAGTTTTATTACGTAGGGGGTCTTAGTTTTATAACAGGGTCTTAGTTTTATAACGTGGGGGGTCTTAGTTTTATAACAGGGTCTTAGTTTTATAACGTGGGGGGTCTTAGTTTTATAACAGGGTCTTACTTTTATAATGTGGGGGGTCTTAGTTTTATAACAGGGTCTTAGTTTTATAACGTGGGGGGTCTTAGTTTTATAACAGGGTCTTAGTTTTATTACGTGGGGGGTCTTAGTTTTATAACAGGGTCTTAGTTTTATAACGTGGGGGGTCTTAGTTTTATAACAGGGTCTTAGTTTTATAACGTGGGGGGTCTTAGTTTTATAACGTGGGGGGTCTTAGTTTTATAACAGGGTCTTAGTTTTATAACGTGGGGGGTCTTAGTTTTATAACAGGGTCTTAGTTTTATTACGTGGGGGGTCTTAGTTTTATAACAGGGTCTTAGTTTTATAACGTGGGGGGTCTTAGTTTTATAACAGGTCTTAGTTTTATAACGTGGGGGGTCTTAGTTTTATAACAGGGTCTTAGTTTTATAACGTGGGTGGTCTTAGTTTTATAACAGGGTCTTAGTTTTATAACGTGGGGGGTCTTAGTTTTATAACAGGGTCTTAGTTTTATAACGTTGGGGGTCTTAGTTTTATAACAGGGTCTTAGTTTTATTACGTGGGGGGTCTTAGTTTTATAACAGGGTCTTAGTTTTATAACGTGGGGGGTCTTAGTTTTATAACAGGGTCTTAGTTTTATAACGTGGGGGTCTTAGTTTTATAACAGGGTCTTAGTTTTATAACGTGGGGGGTCTTAGTTTTATAACAGGGTCTTAGTTTTATAACGTGGGTGGTCTTAGTTTTATAACAGGGTCTTAGTTTTATAACGTGGGGGGTCTTAGTTTTATAACAGGGTCTTAGTTTTATAACGTGGGGGGTCTTAGTTTTATAACAGGGTCTTAGTTTTATTACGTGGGGGGTCTTAGTTTTATAACAGGGTCTTAGTTTTATAACGTGGGGGGTCTTAGTTTTATAACAGGGTCTTAGTTTTATAACGTGGGGGGTCTTAGTTTTATAACAGGGTCTTAGTTTTATTACGTGGGGGGTCTTAGTTTTATAACAGGGTCTTAGTTTTATAACGTGGGGGGTCTTAGTTTTATAACAGGGTCTTAGTTTTATAACGTGGGGGGTCTTAGTTTTGTAGGTCTTAGGTCTTAGGTCTTTGTTTTGTAGACACCCGATTTCATTCTGACTGGAGTCATGACAATACACGTTTAAGATTGATTATCCCAAAGAAATTGACTGAGTAGTTTTGTGAATTTCAGATGTAATTTGGCTTTGTGCGGTTTAATCAATATGCCCCTTGGATTTTAATTTTTTCAAAATATGGAATGTAAAATGATCACTCAAATGTAAAGTCTTAACACAAACCAAATGTATTTCCATTCAAAACATAATATATGATAATAGTACAGCAGTCAAAATCACTGGCTTCCTTCAGTATTCAGTTAATTCAGTAAAGAATTGGTATCGATATGATGAACTGAATTGAACACATGTTTCTCTTAAACCAGTCATCACAAAACTCTGAAAATTTTATTCATCAACACTTTTATGATCATCTTTTGAATGGTAACAGTTCTATTTGAAAAATATATATATACTTTTCTCTATATTGTTTTAGAAAACACATTAGACACTAATTCTTGGTATCTATGTTTGGAATGAAATGGAAGATCTGAACCTCATTGGAACAAAATGACATATAAACAACTTGTTTAGGTCTCTCAATATTGTAATTGTACAAAGGAAAGTTTGGTTCATTTAAAAAAAGTATTTTGTTAATAAAATAAAAGGTTTACTTTAATTTTTAATTTATTGTTGGGATTTTGGTTTTAATTTTGTTAAATGAACCAAACTTTCCTTTGTATAACTATAATATTGAGAGGTCTAAGAAAATGTT